TCGCGGCATCTAGTCCTTCGACCAGCATTCAATCTGCGCGAGTGGTTGCAGCGAATCGAAAGGAAGCTCGCCGAAACTGCCGCGAGAGTTGACAAAGCCGTTCGAAAAGCCCTTAATGACACCAGTCCCTACCTTGGGCTTCTTCTACGGCACTGGCTACGTGAACAGCCCTAGACTTATTTATAAACTCTTTTTTCTCCTTACATGTTTGTTTCTGTAAAGCGTGTGTCTCTGCAACCTAGAGTAGAAAAGTTATTTATATTCGCAAAATGTTCTGGTATTCACCCACACTGTGACTATTTATATTTAACTGTACTCTAAAGAAAAACGCATTTGGTATTATAATTCAGTTTATATTCGAAAAACATTTTCTGAGAACATAAAAATAATAGACAGTTTATGGGATTGCAATCCGGGAGTCATCGCAAAACAATGTTTAGTAGTTGGCCACTTATATTTTGCCATTAGCAATGAAGACTAGGAAGTGGAAAGGTCATTTATGGTTCAAAGTAGTTCGATTTAAGGTCCTTATTTGCCTGAACTACTGAAACGGTATAAGCCCATACGTCCCTGTCCGCTATCAGATGAAGAAAGGGGGGACGAAAGAAATATATAATTCCTGCGCGGATCTACACAGATGAATTCACAAAAAATTTATCGGTGATACATCCACTGCATGGAGCTGCCGGCGGCGTTTCAACTGTTAGGAAGTTGATTGGATAGCAGCCGTCAGAAATGCAAATTTTATGAGGACGCTGTCCACCGTAAGTTGCATCGAAGAAGGCTTCACTGTGCATCCTGCAAGTATAAACAGCCTCTCAAAGCACAAAATCACCGTCTGTGGAAAAGAGGCCATTCGTTGTCTAGCAAATCTACACAGCAAACAGTTTCTCCCAGGGGGGTAGCCTGAGTTCAAAGTACTAGGTCATCATCATCAACAGCAGTAGAAGGGTAAATGTTTGCAGCAGGTTCATTTAACTGGACGGCATAAGAGCACCCAATGGTCTTCTTGCCTAGGCGCTGAATTTATTTTAGGGTGTCCGCCTCGTCCTAATTTCTGCTAGGCAGTTTTTTATGAACCGGTAGGCACTTCACAGTAAACGATCAGGCAGGTCTGCCCATAAGCTCGACGGCGTAGGTGAGTCAGCTGGAGAGCCAAATAACGTGTTCCACGGTAAGACCTTGATAGCTGCTAGCTGTACTCTAGCTCCAAATGCAAATGCACTACTAGGCGTTTGATTATATTTTTAAAAACACAAGGGATTGGGGAAAAATAGGCAGTAATTCCGTCATACCGAATAAGAGACACAGGTGTGACGGAGGGTTTTCCACCCACCATGTTCTCAAACGGCCTATTTAGTAGCATGTGCATTGTCTACTTCGAATTCCTTAACTGAAGGCTGTACTGAAACACCTGATAAATAGAGGAGAATATGCGAGTTCCAGGCCGCAGTTCAGAAGAAGAAGATGCGATCACTGGAAGAAGGGCTTTGTTTTCCTGACGTTTTGGATTCCCTCGGGAATCCTTAATCATAGGTGATGATA